AGATCAACCTCACCCTCAGCCTGGGCAAGGACTTTGAGATCACCTACGTTCGGGTGCGCTTTCACTCACCTCGAGCCGAGTCCTTTGCCATCTTCAAGAAGACGCACGAAAACAGCGAGTGGGAACCGTTTCAGTACTACAGCTCCAACTGCTACAAGACGTACAGCGTCCCTGACCGGTACTACTCCAGCCAGCACGCCGACGTCACGCCCCTCTGCACCAAGGAGTTCAGTGACATCTCGCCGCTGACCGGGGGCAATGTCGTCTTCACCACGCTCGAAGGTCGGCCCAATGCCACCAACTTTGAGCACAATGAGGCGCTTCAGGTAAGTGGATTTTGTGCTGTGTTATTAGTTTCAGATTGTCTGATGTTTGGATGTTTACTATTTTCTTTAGAACTTTGTCACCGCCAATGAGATTCGCATCGTCCTCAACAACATGAACACCTTTGGTGATGAGATCTTCGGCGACGAGCAGGTGCTTCGCTCCTACTTTTACGCCATCTCTGACCTCTCCGTCGGCGGCATGTAAGTGTTGTTTAAAGAGTCAGCTGTTTTGTGGCAGCTAAAATGGTAACATTTCTGCTTTGTTTTCCCCTGGCAGCTGCAAGTGCAACGGCCACGCCAGTCGGTGCGTGCCCGCCTCCGAGCCGAGCACCCGCCGGCGTCTGGCCTGCGCCTGCGAGCACAACACCGCCGGCGCCGACTGCGAGAAGTGTCTGCCCTTCTTCAATGACCAGCCCTGGCGACGGGCCACCGTCAAGAACGCCTATGCCTGCCAACGTAAGTCTTCAAAACAGTAACTGCTGTTTCTGTTAAAAGTGTCTCCGCAACTGTGTCAGGCTTTGGTCTCACTCAGCTCTACAGTGTACCTTTACTGCTAAACTGCAAAGAAGCTGATTTGTGAGCTCATCTCAGTTACTTCTTCTTCACCTGTAGTTGTAGCCTTCTTCATTCACTCACTCAGACAGTCAGTTTTTAGTCAGAATATATCATCAAAGCAATCTGCAGCAGCAACAGCAGCAGCAGCAGTTACCTGTCCTGCAGGACTTGCCTGTCTAGCTGTTA